TCTACATCTGCTTTCTTTGCCTCTGCTGGATTGTTGTCTGGTCCTGCTACTTTGCTGTTCTTGATTTGTCTGATGGCCATACTGATCTCCTCAATCGTAGGTGCGCCAATATTAATTGGGAGATCCGTGGATGCTGCTTCGATGTTGGGTGTGTTCAGTGGAGCTGGTCGATTCAATAGTTACTTAAAGTGCTCTACCCACCTATTTCGCTGTTCTTCAGTGTTGCTGATTACTTTGCCTTCCTTGCTTTTCACTGGTCGTTCTGGTTTACGATAGTTTCCGGCCAGCTTCTCTGTTGTTTCGTACAATTGTTACAAGTTTCCTTCTCTTGCAGCCTTTTCCGCCGTCATTGCTAGATCTTCCACATATTTTCGTTTGTCAGCTCTGATGCTCTTCTTCGCTTCCCTGTTTGCTTCTGTGTATGCAGCTTGTGCCCTAACTTTCTCTGCCCTTGTTCGGCGGACATTGATTGCTGCCTTCTTGTTCCTCCTTTCTTCGATTTTTGCAAGAGTATCAACAGAGATCCATTCCTTGTGATGGTACTTCTTGTGTCCCAGAACTTTGGGACACGTTGAAGTGATTGCCTCCTTAATACCTTTCCAATTGTACTCCAATGTTGCGTCCTCTCAATTTTGTAGATCCTGAAAGGCCTGGAACCTATTGGTGAGGGCTATCCTTAATTCATTGAGCTTTACAGTATCCCGAAGAAAGGCCGTATTAAACTTGTGCGATGTTGTCTCCCCCGTTGTCCGGTGCTTCTTTAGTTTCAGTTTCATTTTGGCGATTAGCAAGTGGTGATCTGAGGCTATATCAGCTCCTCTCCTGATTCTCACACCCTCCATAGTCCCTCTGAACGTTTTGTTGATACAGATATGATCAATCTGGTTTTAAGAAGTGTGTGTGTGTGCAACTCCTTGTGTATGTGAAGCATTTTCCTCTTCAGGACCAGAGTATAACAGCAGTTCTCCTGAAGCTAGTCTCAGTTATCCTACTTGTTTCCAATGCGTTTCACTAATTCCAAGCACCTCGAGGTTGTATCTTTTCATTTCTGCCGCAACTTGAAATAGTCTTCCAGTCTCCCACAATGTACGAACGTTCCATGTACCTAAAAAAATGGTTGCTCTGGTTGTCAGAAGAGGCATCGGCCCCGTGACTTCCGAGGGAACTCGGCTTTCATCACGAGACGTCATAATTCTTCCTCCAACTCCCAGGGCAGAGTTAAAATGGTTTGAATTATTTTTTCTGGTTAGCGTTTTTTGGCAAGTTAGTTTTTGACGGAATGGGGTCGCCAACCCCATGTCTAACCCTTCTCTTTCACCCGGGCTTGGGACCGGCAGTAGCCCCTAAGGTTCTACTGGCAGAGTTAAAATTTATCATCTTACTCAACCGTATAGTTTATACGTTTTCCTTGAAGATTGCAAGTGGATTTTTAATAATTCAGTGAGATGACAACTAAATTCAAAGAATATGTACACGAAAGAATTTCTGATATCACATATATATTATTTAATTTTTGTCATGTTTGTAACTCTCATTGTTTAAGTCATTTCCTTAAAGCTAGTTCTAGAAATCATTGTAGGTGCACAATCACAGAACTACATATAAAAGATTATTAACTCCACCCGGAGCCATTCTGATGTCAGAAGCTCAAATATAATAAGAAGACCGGACATACAACACAAACCCGTAGTAAATAAACCTGCTAATAAAACATTAACTACAAAAGAAAACATTTCTTCTGACAGTTACAAGTTCTTCATTTTCAAAAGTCATGAATCGTCGGGATGAAAGCCAAAATTCTTTGGCAGTCCCAAAATCTACGTCACTACTAACAAACAAAGCATCAATCAATATGCGTGAATGGAATTTCCGAACATTCTGAGAGACTGGAAGAGCTACTTAAGCTGGTGGATAAATGACAACAACAAAGCAGTTATTGCTTGGAATATGTTAAACACACTTCGGCTGTAAGTTTGAAGAATGGATAACCTTCATCAGCCATGCTGTTTTTTTCCGACTTTGAAGAGGAAATTGCCTCACTCGCAAGGAGTAGCACGCATGCTGTCCAAAGAGGCTCAAAAATTACCTATTGGATGGTTATCACATGAAACCAGTATCATCACAGCTCTATTTGAAGAAAGAGATTATTACAATGAATAGGATTCGGTACTTTGTACCTACTGAATATAAAAATGCAAACAAGGATTGTTGATCTAATGATAGTCTGCAGTGATACGATGAGAAAAGCGAAGCAAATAACTTGACAATTCTGATGAGAGACCTAGATAGCAAGGTTGAAATAGACATAAAAGTATATAAAAACTCAAAATTCTCTGATTCTCTAGATAAGATTCAAGAAACAAAGCACAAGAAATCAGAAATCACTATAAGCCGAGCAAGAGCAGAACATTGGAAAGAACGAGCTGACTACACGAAATCTAATAAGCAGGTGAAGAGGAGCATCAGAGTAAACGATCGCAAATACGTGTAAGATTAAGCTATGATGCTGGCGAAATCTGAAAGAGAAGGAAACACGAGACAACCCAGAAGCTCGCTGATTATTATCGTCAACTGGAACGATCAGTTAAACCTAGACTAACTCCTGACATTGAAGCACAGCGAATCAGGTGGGTAGAGCACTTTGAAAGACGGCTGAATTGACCAACTTCACAACCCAACCTAACTTCCAGGCAGCATGCGCATACTTCCCAATCACCGTTGGCCTGTAAACAATTGAAGTGATTAGCATCGATCTCGGGCATATCAAGGGCGGCAAAGCCGCGTTTCAAGAATATATTCCATTGGAAGCACTGAAACTTGGCGCAAACATACTCGAGACTCTTTTTCCACCAAATTTTGGAAAATGAACTGATTTCAGCAAACATGAAAGATGAACACCTCATCGAGATTCAAAGAAAAAAATCCCAGAAGGTGTGCAACAATCCGGTTTATGGGATAAACTACTATTCATCAACTTCGTTAAATACGAAAAAACATTCGACAGTGTGGACAAAACGACAACCTGAAGGCTTTTTCGGTAATACGGCGTACCTAAGAATATTCAAGATTCTTACATTTCAGTAAACCACAAGATCGTGCATGGAGGTCAACTCACATAGTCGTTCCAAATGAAGACCAATCTCAGACAGGTCTGTTTTCTATCAATCTTTCTAGTTCGTCTAATGGTCGACTGGATTATGAAGACAGGCACAGAATAAATTGGACAGCTCAAATGTAGCTGGACGTTCCGGACTTTGCAGATGATCTAGCGCTTATACCATACATACACTAAGAGCAGAGGAAGACAGCTTGTATAGTAGTAGCCTCAGCATTAGTATGTCTCAACTTGCACAACGGGAAAGACTAGGTAATTTATGCAATACAACACATTAAATAACAACTAACTCACACTTCAAGGAGAAGGTTTGGAAATTTAGGAAGCCTTCATATACCTTAGTAGCATCACTGATGAGCAAGATGGATCTAAAACAAATGTGAAGACAAGGATTAGCAAGTTGATGCCAACATTTCTGTGACACAAGAACACCTGGAATTCAAATCAACTGTTAAACAACGCAAACATCACAATTGTCGACGCAGACATCAAGACAGTTCTTTAATATAAAGCCAAAACCTGATTATTTACGGAACCCATTACACTGAAGACACAAGTATTCATTTACAGTTGTCTACGCAAAATACTTCAGATCCACTGGCTAGACAACACCTTCAACAACTTACTTTGGGAGAGAACAAACCAGATTCCAGTTGCGGAATAAATTAGGGAGCAGCGCATGAGATTAACAGGAATATAATGAAGAATGCACTTAAATTCGTCATAATTCCACCCCACACTTTTAATCCTTAAAGCCAAAATAAAGAGGGGTAGACATTACACATCACACTGAAAACAGGAAACACATATGAAAAGAATGGACGACAGTTAAGTAAAAGTGGAAAGAAAGGCCTGAAACAAAGAGAATTGTAGAATGCTAGTCGGCTGACTATGATTCATTAAGGGTAACAAGCCTGTAAAGTAAGTATATAGTTAAACAATCATTCACTATTTATTCATGAAGTTCTATTAATAAAGGTTCTATTCATTTTACAATCTTTTTTAGAAGTAGACATATTTATCTATAACGCCTTATTGGAAAATATATCAACCAGAAGAATCATTACTTGGAATCCACTTTATCAAGATTCTAATTCAAGTTTATACAAACAGTTATCAACTACCTTTTGCCAACTAGTATGTTTACTCACATCATTTGATAAATACTACTTAATAATAATGTAAACAATAAACACTGATACAATTCTAAGCTAATTCACAATATTTAAAACTCATTGTAGTGTAGAAGGAAAAAGAACGAAATGAAAAACACGCCATGCAGAAAACATGACTCATCAAAACTCATTAACCTATCAGCTAAAATCATGATCTCATCTTAGCTAGACCATCATCATTGGGTGACTGTAAGCTTCCGAAAATGATTTGTGACAAACATGTAAGATTGTGATTGGTAAATAACTGACGCATTGTTTTGCAATAATGCATTTACCAATTACACATACCTTGTAAGCATAAAATCACATAGTTGCAGAGAGGCTATGATTAGCATTATCGTAATCAGTGTAAATGTGTGAAAACAGACGAATGAACTATGTGTATATTACTCATGTTTCATGTTACTCAAATTAATCAAAAAAAGACATGGAGCAGTATTTCGAGTTATGTTTACCACTTAATAATTACATTAGCTAATTAAATCCATCCATCATATTATTTCGATCATTTGAACTTCAATTTCCAATCAATCTATAATTATATATATATTATTGCATTCAAGACTCTATGAATTACGTATTAACAGGACAAATTGTTTTGAAACTAACTATTAAAGCCATATCAATAAATCTTGAATGTAAAATCGATTACTGATCAATTATTTTTACATTTTCATGTTGTTTAGATTATTGAGTTAGCGAAAAAAGTCATGATTACTGGATCCAATGGTGGAAAATGTGGAGATGTAGTATTTTTGAGAAAAGATTTCCGTATTCCCTATACCGGTACAATTTCTAGTGTGTTGGCAAAAACATTCTTAGAATATATCTATCCTTATGATATTAAATTAAATATTGATTCATTGATTGGTAGATTAAAAGCTGTTTTCCAATATAGTAACAAATTATCAAGTTTGAGAATTAGGCAACTTACAGTAACAGGTATGTGGTAGATAATTGTTTGTTTTTCACATATTTATATATAAAAAATCTAAGAATTCGTCAAACAAAACTACACTACATGCAATGCATAAAATAGTGTAGAACATTACTAAAATGGTAATAATAATAATAATAATGATAATGATACTTATTTACTTACTTACTTACTTACTTACTTACCCACATACTTACCTACTTACTTACTAATGCACTTACTTACTCACTTACTTACCTACTTACTTACTTACCCACTTACTTACCTACTTACTTACTTATGCACTTACTTACCTACTTACTTACTTACTTACTTACCCACTTACTTACCTACTTACTTACTTACTTACTTACTTACTTACCTACTTAC